CAGACAGGGCAGAAGGCAAGGACTGATGAGTTGTCCTCTGACCTCTACATGAATATACCAATGCATACATATGCCTGTGCTCACATATACAAACAAGAATACATACATCAGAGAGGAGAGAGAGAGAGAGAGAGAGAGAGAGAGAGAGAGAGAGAGAGAGAGAGAATTAAAAGAAATACCAACAAGCAAATTGGTAGAATCAGATTGCCTAGATTCAAATACTAATTTCATCAGGAATAGGAAATAAGACCTTGAATGCGTTACTTACTGCTCTTTACCTCACCTTCTCCCCCTCAGTTTCCCCTTATGAAAAACAGGAACAAAGCACTGTAGTGACTACATAGAGTCATTGTAGGGATTAAACAAACTTTATTTTTTTTTTTTGTATTTTTGAGACAGGGTCTCCCTGTAGCCCCAGCTGACCTGGAACTGCTCTGTAAACCAGGCTGGCCTTGAACTCACAGAGATCTACCTACCTCTGCCTCCTGAGTGCTGGGATTAAAGGCGTGTGCCACCACACCCCAGATAGAGTAAATAAATTTTTATATGCTCAGTATTTAGAAAGGTGCTTAGAACATTGCATTTGCTTTGAACAGTTTGAAATTGTAGCCATTATAAACATTTACCTCCCGGTTTCTTTCCTTTTTTTTTCTTTCTTTTGTTTTTGTTTCTGTTTTGCTTTTGTTTTGTAGTTTGGGGGTTTTGTGTTGCTTGAAACGGTCTCACTCTGTAGTTCTGGCTGTCCTGGAACTCACTGTGTAGACTATGCTAATCTGAATTTGTGGCCATCCTCCTGCCTCCACTTTCCAAATACTGGGATTACAGGTGTTTGCCACTTCCTGACCTAATTTGCTTCACTTCTGTCCCACACATCTCCTTGCTGTGTCATCCTAATTTGGCTATCTCTTCACTTCCAAGCTTGGTCACCCTACCCAAGAATAGTAAGAAAAAGGGGTCCTGTGATACTGGAGACCCTCTAGCCTGTTGAACTACAGAACTGAACTAAACAGAATTGAAGGTTGTAAGACTCCCTCCCAGTTGGTCCACCTTCTAGCATTCTCAAGACTGGGTTAATTATCTGGGAACATAGTTAAGTGGTAAAGTGGTTAAAAAAAAAAAAAAAGCTTAGCAAGCATGAAGCCCCAGATTTAATCTCTAGCATCCCCTCAAAAAGAATGAGGCAGTCTGTACCTATTTCTTATGAAAGTGAATTCTCTACATGTGCCCAGGAGTGAGACAGAAAGGGCTGGGGACTTTCGTAAGCTTATTTGGTAACTCTCTAAAGATCTATGAAATGGAGATAGGGAAGGACCCTTCCCAGTAACACATTAAGACACTCTGAGTTAGTCCGTTCAGCTGACAAAGTAAGTTTGCAGTTGGGACCTTCCTACCCTGGAAAGGGGTTGTCACTGTGCCTACCAAATAAAACAGTCATAGGAAGCTTTGCAAGGAAAGGAAGTGAGTCGTCATTAGCAGGAACTGATGGTGGCTTTTCCCAGGCATCTTGCCACATCAATCTGCTTGTGAAAAATCCAAAGAAAGTTACTATTTTCAAACAACCCTGGTGATTAAACCTGTGTAAGAGAGGAAGCTGGGAAACAGAGCTTAACAAAACTTGAGTTTTATACCTTTGCTCACCAAGAAAGTAAGGGTGTGGGTCCTGCTAGAGGTTAGAGTCAAGGACAGAGGTTCTGTCCAAGAGTAGGAAAGAAATAATCAGGGTGCCCCAATCCACTGGAGAACCCATGACTCTATTATATTGTTACTAAGAAGAAAAGGTTTGTGGTCCTTTACAGCAGGAAGAATACAATGGAGTTGAGGTGAAATCTAGGCAAAAAAATACTCCACATACACTTTATAAATGGGCAAAAAAATAATATCAGCATAGACGAATATTTTGCCACTCTTGGGGCTGTACCTAGGACAGGTGATTAAACCTTTCCTCCAAACCACCCACTTTAGCATCTCAAACTTTTTTTTGTTGTTGGTTTGGTTTTGCAGTGCTTGTGATTGGACCTAGGGCATTACAAATATTGAACAAGTACTCAACCATTGATCTACAGTCCCAGCCCCAGCTGCAACTGTTTAAATAAAGGTATTTAAAATTGGGGGAAGCTGGGGCTGGAGAGATAGCTCAGCAGTTAAGAGCACTGACCGCTCTTGCAGAGGACCCGGATTCGATTCCCCAGCACCCATATGGCAGCTGACAACAGCCCATAGTTCCAGGGGAAACCCATGCTTTCTTCTGATCTCTGAAGGCATTATTCGACAGTGGCCAGAAGAATGGAATGCTCTGATTAGGCTAGGTGCAGGTCACAAAGCCATTCCTGGAATATTAGGGGCATCATTCTCCATCTAAAGAAGTACACAGATAACTGGGGCTGTAACTCTGTTGGAATAGTGCTTGCCTAGCATGCACAAAGCTCTGGGTTCCATCCCTAGCACCACAGAAACCAGATAGGGCAGCATATACCCGTAATCTAAGCACTCAGGAGGTGAGGCAGGAAGATCAGAAGTGAAAGGTCATCCTCAGCTACACAGGGACTCTGAGGCCACATGAGACTGTCTCAGAAACATAAATAAACCAGATGTGATAGCACATGTCTTTAATTCCAGCAGAAGCAGACAGATCAAGGCCAGCCTGGGCTATATAGACAGTGCCAGGCCAGTTTGAACTACAGGGAGACCCTGTCTCAACAAACAAACAAACAAACAAACAAACAAACAAACAAACAAGGGGGCTGGATAGATGGCTCAGTGGTTAAGAGCACTGACTGCTTTTGCAGAGGACTCAAGTTTGGTTCTCAGCACCTGCATGGAGGCTAACAACCATCCCTAACTCCAGTGCCAAGGGATCTGATGCCCTCTTTTGACCTCTATGGGCATTGCATGACATAAGTGCAATAATAAAAATATATTTAAAAAAACAAACCAAGCCAGGCATGGTAGCACACACACCTTTAATCCCAGCACTCAGGAATCTTTTTAATTTTGAGACAGGATCTCACTATGTAGACTAGGTTAGCCTATGTAGTTGGACTTGAACTTGCTATGTAGTCTAGGTTGGCCTGAAACAGAATATCTTTTTTAAAAAAATAACTTTATTACTTATTTATTTTACATTTATTTATTTTGTTTTTGAGACAAGTGTCTGGATTCAGCTAGATTGGCTGCTCAGTGAGCTCCAGAGATGCAGTTGTCTCTGCTCCCTCAGTGCTGGTGTTATTTGATTCTGGGAGTCAAACTCAGGTCTTCATACTTGCAACACAATTACTTCAGCAATTGATCCATCTTCTTGGTACTAAATTCTTCGCTCTTTTGATTCCCTCTGTCTGGGATATTCTTTCCTCAGTTTTTTGCTGTATCATTTACAATTTTTCAGATCTCACTTCAAATGCTACATTCTTCTGAAGGTTTCCCATACCTTAATGATGTCCACCTAAAGTCTAACCAGTTTTTTCTTCCTCAATAATACATATATATTCCAGCACTTGGGAGGCAGAGACAGATAGATTTCTGTAAGATGAAGGCCAGCCTGGTCTACATAGTAAGTTCCAGGCCAGTTGGGGATACAGGGAGACCTGGTCTCAACCTACCACAACAAAACCAAACCAAAAACAAACAATACCCCCAAAACCTCAAACAAAAAAATTCAATGGATGATTTAAACAATAAATGTGATATGGTTGAAGAGATCAACATAATTGGTGGAGTAAATTTTAGAAAGCCAGGGTTTAGAAGAGAGAAATACAAAGGTACTAAGTAAGTGTAAAGCTAAGAATGAGAGAAATGGATTTAACACACCTCTAACCAGATACTGGCTGCATATACTCCAGAACTGACATAAATCCTGAGATTGAAGAACATTACATACCAGGCGAATCAAAAAGCCCAAAGCAAAAGTGAGTTATATTTTGAAAATCCCTTTCTGTCTGTCTTTTTCTTGTGAAGGTGTCACTAAATATATAGCTGGCCTGGAATTCACTACCAGGCTGCCCTCAAATTCATGGTGATCCTTCTGCCTCATTCTCTCCCCAGTGCTGGAATCACTGGTAGCATGGGCTACCATTTTAGGCCCTTATCTTTATTATTATTATTATTATTATTATTATTATTATTGGTCTCATGTAGCCCAAGCTGACCTCCAACTTGCTAAGTAGCTGAGGATAACTTAAACTTACTATTTTTTAAAATTTTATTTTAAAAACTTCATTTACTGTGTACGTTGTGTGTTACATGGCATGTGTGTATTACATGGGGGTGCATGTGGAGGTCAGAGTTCAACTTGTGAAAGTCAGTTCTCTTCTTTTACCATCTGGGTTCTGGGGATTGAACTCAAATTGTTAGGCATGGCGGCAAGCATCTTCACTTGCTCAGCCATCTTACTGGCCCGACCTTGAACTGCTCTTCCTGCCTCCATCTATCCAGGGCTGGGATTACAGGTTTGAGCCGCCACACTTGTTTTATGCGGTACGGTGGCTTGAACCCAAGGTTTCAAGCTTGCTAGGCAAGCATTTTGGCAGCTGAGCTACATCACCAGCCTGAAATCTAATTATAACAAATTTACTCACCCTGTCTTAACCAGTGTCTAGAAACCTTCAGTACAATTAAGTTCTTTGGAAGAATACTCCAACCGGCTTCCAATGGTCTTTTTCATGCTAACGTGCCTGAAGCTCCAGGCTCCATTCATCCCTGGCAGCATGGGGATTACTTGAAGGACTGAATGGTTGAGCTAACCTACATACCTGGTTCAATGTAGCAGTACGAATTAAGCTGTTTGTCAACTTTAACAAAGTCACAAAGGAAATCAGGACGCTGGGTTGCATCTGAACGCTGTACGAGCCACACCTGATGGAGAACGCAAATTGGATTGGAATCCCGAATATTTATTGTCATTCATCCCTTCGGAGTATGGGGGTGGGGTGGGGTGTAGTGTTGGGAAGAGTCTGCGGGGGCGGGGGTGGGGACTCTGGATTAGGTTGGGTTTGATTCGTACGCAGGCGCAGAAAGAAGTCTGGCTATCCTGAAAGAGCCCTTCCCCATGCCTTTCCGGCCTTCTTCCTATGTGCAGGCGCAGAAGAGTGCTCCAAGATGGCGGCCCCCGTGGACTTAGAGTTGAAGAAGGTAAAGTGGGTTTTTCAGCCGGCAGAGCCTTTCATTTGCGTGATGAGGGGAGTGCGGACAAAAATATCGCAGGCGGCTCGAGCCCTACCGGAGGAAGGAGGCCCATGGGCTGGCGGCTGGCTCCCGAGAGTCCTGGGCCGGGCCCGGGTCTCAGCTGGGGTGGGCGAGGGGCTCCGGAGCCTCCCCGGGCGGGGGCTGAAAATGTTGGCACGGGTCGGCCGTCCCCTGCGAGCACCAGAGCCATTTCTCTGTTTTGGAGCCTTCAGGGACTCAGTCGCATAGCAAGAACTGAAGACAGCATCTCACATTGATGCCTTCTGCAGCTGCTTGCCGGAGCTGAGGTGTATGTAATTCGGCTTCTTCATTTGCTTTGAAAAACTGCAAGTTCAACCTTTGTTTTTAGGTCATTATTCGATAGCCATATCTTGAAAAGTCCCGGTATCTGCACCTTAGAAACCAGACACTATTATGGCAATGCTTATTTCAAGCTAAATCTTCCTGCCCATCTCCATTTTCTTTAATTAAAGAATTTGCCAGCCTCCCCCCCCCCCCCACGCCCAGTAAAGTTTTCCAAATGAGTTGTCATAGGGAATTGGATTTTTCATTTTGTTCATTCAGTTGTGTATAATTTGTGTTGTTTTGTTTCATTGAGACAGTATCTCATGCTGCACCCTAGGTTGGTCTGGAACTTACTATGTAGCCAGGCTGGCCTTGAACTCATGGCCGGTTTTCTTGCCTCAGCCTCTAGAGTTCTGGGTTTACAAGCTTGAGGTTCCCCACCACCTCCCTCCACTTATAAATGGGTTGTTACTCAGAAACATTTTTGCTAACTAAAAGTCCTTAGGATTCTACTACTACTACAAGCTGTACATTGCAGGGCTGACTATAATCGGAAGGACCCTAGAATTCATGTAGTTTAAACCTACTTTTCTAGAAAGGGAAACTAGTGTTTTTTGGTATGTGTGTCGTCTTTTTTGGGTCAGGGTCTCACCAGGTACCGAAGTCTTGCCTTGAACTTCTGTTGCTCCTGCCTCTGCTTCCTGAGTGCTAGGATTACAAGGTAGGTGGTAAGAAAAGTGTAGTCCTTTTTTTTTTCTTTAAATATCTATTATTATTTTTATTTTATGTGTATGTGAGTGTACCTGTGTTGTGCAATGCCACGGAGATCAGAAGAGGGCTTCAGATTCCCCTGGAACTGGAGTTAAGGACGGTTTGTAGCCGCCATGTGGGTGCTGGGAATTGAACCCGGGTCCTCTGCTCTTAACTGCTGAGGCATCTCTCCAGCCCTCAAAAAGTCTAGTGTTAAAGATTGAGCCTAGGGCAGCCACATGGCTTAGTGGGTGAAGGTGCTTGCTGCACAAGCCTGCGGGGTAGAGTTCAATCCCTGGAACCTATGATGGAAGGAGAGACCTGAAAGTTGTTCTCTAATGTCTGCTGAGGTAAATACCAGCATGTCAGCCCATACTCTTATAACACATAATGATAATAAGTAAATAAGCAAAAAATTTTAAGAAAGATTGAGAAGATAATTTAGTATTCTCATACTTAAAAAAAAAATCAATAGGGTCTGTAGGTGAGGAACTCTCTATGTGTGTGTATGTCTGTGTAGGCCAGAGGCCAACCTCTGGTATCCTTCTTGGGGAGCCCGCCCTCCCTCCCTCCTGTCCTCCCTCCTTTCCTTTCTTAGACTTATTTTATTTGTTTGTTTATTTATTTATTTAATTTGTCTTTTTGAAGCAGGGTCTCCCTGTAGCCCCAGCTATCCTGGAACTCACTCTGTAGACCAGGCTGGCCTTGAACTCACAGAGATCTGCCTGCCTCTGCCTCCCAAATGCTGGGATTAAAGGCAAGCGCCACCATGCCTGGCAACTTACTTTATTTTTAATTCTGTATATGTGTTTGTGTGTGGGCATGTGCAGGTGCCAATGAGGCTGGAGGCCAGAGGTGTTAGATCCCTTGGAGCTGGAGTTCTAGGCAGTTGTGAGCCACCAGACCTGGGTGATAGGAACCAAACTTGGGTTCTCTGCAAGAGCAGTACATGCTCTTATCTGCTGAGCCATCTCTCTAGTCCCTCTTTCTTTTTTCCTTCATGAGAAAGGCCCTCACTAAGTAATCCTGGATGGCCTGGAGCTCACTATGTAGACCAGGCTGGCCTGGAACTCACAGAGATCTTCCTGCCTCTGCCTCCTGAATGCTAGAATTTAAGGTGTGCTTTTCTTTTCCTTTCTTGCTTTCTTTTTCTTTTTTTCCTTTGGTCTTTTTGAGACAGGTTCTCCCTGTAGCCCCAGCTGTCTGCCTCTGCCTCCTGAGTGGTGGGCTTAAAGGCATGTGCCACCAGGCCTGACTTAAGGCTTAAGGTGCGCTTTTCTTAAAATTTTTATTTTATTTATTATTGTTGAATGTGAGTGTGTGTGTGTGTAGGCTCACATGCCAGAGCGCTTGTGAGGAAGTCACAGGACAGCTTTTGGAAGTCACTTCTTTATTTCCATGTGGATTAAACTCAGATCCATCAGGCTTTTGAGGCAAGCTGTACCCTGTCACCTGCTCAAATTCTGGTGTTTTTGTTTTTCCTGAGACAGGGTCTCTTGTATCCCAGGCTTTACCCAGGACATCCTGTGTCAAAAGTAAGGACGGTTCATCTTGTGTTTTGGAACCTAGACTTATGATTTCAGCGAGACTGGCTCTCCTGTGAGTCCCAGGGATCCTCTTGCCTCAGCCTCCTCAATCCTGGGATTACATCACCACCATGCCCAGCTTTTTATGTGGGTACTACAGATTGAACTCCTTACAGCTGACTGAACTATCTCCCTAGCCCCCAGTAGCATCTTAAGTGACTACTTCTGGTTGACCTTTGTCTAAGAAATAGGACAGCTGAAATAGCTGTTGTTCCTAATAAAAGAAGCCATTTGTTACTCTTCTGAGGATATTAGGTATGTGTGTCTTTTTTTTTTTTTTTTTTCCATTCTTGTCTTGAAAGTTATGAATTTAGCTCTTACGTAGCATTCTCTTATGCTGTGCTTGTAGCCCTCACTGGCCTGGAACTCACTCTATAGACCAGACTGGCTTCTGCCACCTGAGTGCAAGGTTTAAAGCTATGTGCTACCATGCCTGGCATGTAAATCTCAGCTTTAACAGTATTCTGTTTTTATTACATTTATTTATTTGTGTGTCTGTGTGTTGGTATGTATGATGTGTACTAGTGTGAGTGTGGGCACACACATGCCGTGGAGCTTGTGTGTAGAGGTCAGAGTACAACTTGTAGGAGTTGGCTCTTCCACTCTGTGGCTTCTAGCAATTGAACTCAAGTTGTCAGGCTTGGTGGCAAGTACCTTTACCTGCTGAGCCATTGCACCAACCTTGTCTATCTTAACTTAAAAAAATTAAATTACATCAGCTGTGTGGCTGCTGGCCAGCCATGTGTCTGACCTCACATGCAGGCTCTAAACCTGCATTGCTCCATGACTTTTCCTTCTTCCCACCATTCCCTTCCTCAAGACCCAGATTACCAGCTCACCTGCCCTGAGGATTTTTCTTTAAGAATCTAATAAAATTTTAAAAAGCTAAAAAAAAACAAAACTTTTTTTTTTTTTTTTTTTGGTCTTTTTGAGACAGGGTCTCCCTGTAGACCAAGCTGTCCTAGAACTCACTATGTAGAACAAGCTGGCCTTGAACTCACAGAGATCCTCCTGCCTCTGCCTGCCAAGTGCTGGGACTAAAGGCATGTGCCACCACACCTGGCCTACATTTTGTTTATTTTGTCTATCTGTATGTCCACGTGGGTGTCAGTACATGTGTTACCACAGTGCCAGAGTGAATGGAGATCAGAGGACAATTTAAGAGAGTTAGTTCTTTCCTTCTGCCATGTGGATCCTGGGGATTAAACACAGGTCATTAGGCTTAGCAGGAAGCACCTTTGCCTGCTGAGCTAACTGGATGGCCCTAAAAAAATTTTTTTGAGACAGATGTCATGTAGCGGAGGCTGGCCTTGAACATCTTATGTATCTGAGTGCTAAACTATTCCTGATCCTCCTGCCTCCACCTTTCAAGTGCTGGGATTACAGGTGTGAGATACCATATCTGATTCTTCTTTTTGAGACAGGGTCTCCCTGTATCCCCATCTGGCCTGGAACTAGCTGTGTAGACCAGGCATCTGCCCGCCTCTGTCTACTGAGCACTGGGATTAAAGGCGTGTACCACCATACCTGGCCCATGGCTGATTCTTAAGCTGCCATTTTGAACTAATGTGAAATGCTTTGAAATATAGTTTGTAATACAGATGTACTGAGTTATTATTTTTATGATTCTTGCTTTAATTTTCTGGGCTTCATTTCCTATGCATTTTATTCTTTTTTAAAATATTTTATTTATTATTTTTATTTTGTGTGTATGAGTGTATTGCCTGCATGTATGTGAGTGCACCCATGCCATGCAACGCCACAGAGGTCAGGGTGTTGGATTCCCCTGGAACTGGAGTTAAGGACAGTTCATAGCAGCCGCCATGCGGGTGCTGGGAATCAAACCCAGGTCCTCTGCAAGAGCAGTCAGTGCTCTTAACCGCTGAGCCATCTCTCCAGCCCCTATTTACTCTTTTTATTAGTCTCTGATTACTTGGTATGGTTATTATTTTATGTGCATTTATTTTGCTTGTTCATATTGATCATATCTCTTATGAATAAGGGTATTTAGAATTTAGTGTAGTATTATAATTATATTGGCTTTTATTTGCGCTTTGATTTTCACAGCTTTATCTGGTTAGTATGCTCTGTTTTAATAAATTTGGATTTGACTTAAAACTTCCTTTAAAATGTTTACCTACTAAATCAGGACTTGTTTTCACTAGGCCTTCACAGAGCTTCAAGCCAAAGTTATTGACACCCAACAGAAGGTGAAGCTTGCAGACATACAGATTGAACAGCTAAACAGAACGAAAAAGCACGCACATCTTACAGACACAGAGATTATGACTTTGGTAGATGACACTAACATGTATGAAGGTGTAGGAAGAATGTAAGTAAAATATGTCTTAATGGTGTTACCTTGTGAGAGCTTCTGTCTGAATTAAATGGTGGAACTATTCATTTAAAAATTTTGGTTAATGTATCATAGAAATAACTTTCAAAATCATCTAGTCAAATGCTTTCTTTAAAAAATAGAGTGGAACCTCAGATGTGTGTTGTTTGTGTATCTGTTTTTTTTTTTTTCTCTCTCTCTTGCTCTCTCTCTCTTAAAGGGGTGTGTGTGTGTGTACATGCACACATGTGGTATCTTTGGAGGTCAGAAGAGGGTGTTAGATCCCTTGGAGCTGGCATTACAGGCAATCTGAGCCTGATGTGTGTGCTGCAAACTGAACTCTGGTTCTTTGTAAGAGGAACTAACACTCTTAACTGCTGAGCCATCTCTCTGACAACCCTCTTCCCTGTTTTTTTGAGATAGGGTCTTGTATAGCCCAGGCTGGTCTAGAACTTACTTAGCCTTTAATATAGCCTTTAAAGGCTTTGAAGTCTTGATCCACTTCTATTTCCTGAGTGCTGGGATTGTAGGCGTGTACCACCAGGTTTGGCCCCAGATGGTTATTAAGTATTTAACTTTGAAATACATTTCCATTTTTTTTGGTTTTGGTTTTTTGAGATGGGATCTCCCTGTAGCCCCAACTGACCTGGAACTTGCTATATAGACCAGGATGGCCTTGATCTCATTGAGATCCACTTGCCTCTGCTTCCTGAGTGCTGGGATCAAAGGTGTGTGCCACCACACCCAGATGAAATATATTTCTTAAATACTTTGTTCTCTGTGCTTAAGTGAGATTTGTTATAGGAACATGGTTATAGTAATTTTGTATGTGAAAATTTACTTTGATAGGTATTATGTTAGTCTCCTTACCTGATTTACTAGGAGTGATACAAATAAGTCTTGTAGCTATCTAACCTAGAGTTGTAAAAAAAAAATATAGATTCATTTGCCATTTAGATACACTCATTCTAGGGGCAATGAATTGTTCTAATTAGGAGGACTACGTATGTGTGAAAAATGTAGTAAACTCATCTATCCTTTGTTCTAATTATCAATATAATTTAGTTATATTTTTAACTTTTAAGGACTAGAAAGAGACCATTTATTGAGAGAGAGAACACACTCCTGAGAATAGGAGTGGGCCAGTGAGAAGGGAGAAGGCCTCCATTCAAAAGCCCTAGTCACTGATACCATTAGCCACCTACATTTCATTTTTTTAAAAATCAAAAACATACTTTCTTTATGAGAGAGATTAGGTCTGCTTCATATTTGCTAAAGAAGAAAATGAAGACTGGGAAAGCCCTTAAGTACAGGTCACATTCCGTTGCAGTTACCTAAAAGGGAAATTTTTTTTTAAAGTGGGGGAGGTAGAGAAGGTTTTCTTTTTTTTTAATTTGGCCTTTGGATATTATATACTTGGTAGACCATAACTTTAGTAAGAGTGGAATTTGACGTCAGTCTTGTTTTGTGATTGATTTAGAGGAAGCATGATGTCTAAAATTCTGTAATGACTTTAGAATGACATCATGAGAAGTAAGACCCTGCGTGTGACTAACTCATCTCTGTCTTTCTGGTAAGAGGCAGAATATAATTATCTGATTTGTTTCTCAGAATGAACAGTCCACATCATACTTTCTCTTTAGTTCATTTTTTTTTATTTTTTCGGTCTTTTTGAGACAGGGTCTCCCTGTAGCTCCAGCTGTCCTGGAACTCACTATGTAGACCAGGCTGGCCTTGAACTCACAGAGATCCACCTGCCTCTGCCTCCCAAGTGCTGGGATTAAAGGCGTGTGCCACCACACCCGGCCTCATTTTTTATTTTGGTTTATTTTAAGAGAATGAGGGTTTCTTTTGTAAGGTTGGTTGGCTGTTTTTGAGAGAGTCTTACTCTTGCTCAGATTGGCCTCCAACTCAAAGTCAGAGGATGACTTTGAACTCCTGATCCTCTTGCCTCCATCTCCCAAGTGCTGGGATTACAGGTGATTACAGGGCTCTAATTTGTGAGGTTGTTAATGGTACAAAACAGGCTGAGAACAAAGCAGAGCCCTGAGTTATGTGTCTATGTAATGTGAAGTGCATGGTTGACATTCACTGCTGGTTGCTTTTTTTCTTAATGTGAGTATCCTTAGGTCTTAAAGCAGCAGTGCCAGCTTTCCTAGCATGCCTGTTAACATCCTTGGATTTCACATCATTACTTTTGTTTTGTCACAGCTGAAGAATCTTTTTCAAAATAGACTCTTACTATCTTTGGCCTTTAAACTACAGTGAAGGGTTTTTTGTTGTTTGGGACAGGGAATCTATAGCCCAGGCTGGCTTCATGCCAAAGCCCTGATTGATCACCTACCAAGTGCCAGGATTACAGGGATGCACCACCATGCCTCATTTTGAAGTTTTAGCATTTTTAATTTTTAAAATTCTTTATTATTATTGTATGTGGGGTGTGTGTGTGTGTCACTGAGAATTGAGCCCACAGCTTTGTGTATGACAGGCAAGTGTTCTGTCAGTAAGCTACATCCCCAGCCCTGAAGTTTTTATTTAGTTTTTGGCTTCTTGAGAGAGGGTCTCCCTGTAGCTCCAGCTGGTCTGGAACACCATGTAGACTAGCCTGGCCTCAGTCTCACAGACATCCACCTGCCTCTGCCTGCTGAGTGCTGGGATTAAATGTGTGCACCATCATGCCTGGCCTGAAGTTTTTTTTGGTCTTTTTTGAGACAGGGTCTCCCTATGGCCCCAGCTGTCCTGGAACTCACTATGTAGACCAGGCTGGCCTTGAACTCAGAGATCTGCCTGCCTCTGCCTCCCAAGTGCTGGGATTAAAGGTGTGCACCACCATACCCGCCTGAAGTTTTTATTTTTAACTAGAATGTCATTTATTAAACATTTTGTAAGTGATAGGGGAGTTTCTTTTTTTTTTTTTTTTTTTTTTCCATACTGTCCAAAGTTCTACAGATTCTATGCAAAGACTTGTGGAGTTTAAAGGTTTACATATGAAGTAATTAAAGGTAGAATGGTATTTCCAGATTTATTTTGTGTAAGTTATGTTTTGTAAGAGAAATGTGTAATTTTAAATGTTTGGATAAGGTTTGGTTTTAAATTTAACCTTTGTGCTTTCTGAACCGTACTGGGAGTGTGAGTGTTTGACCCTGCATTGTAGGGGCATGTAAGGTGAATAGCATTTGTTATTTGGCCAGAGTATTGGTAGCCTGAGAGGAAGAAAAGACTTGCTGAGTATTAGTCTGGTCATGAGGATGTTCTCTTTCTTGATGCTAAACCTGAAATATCTATTTCTGAATTTATGATCTTGAGTAATCTTGAGTATCATTGTGATTCACTTCTTTAATTCTAGGCTTTATCTTAAATTGTCTTCCTTTTAAAGTATTACTTGAGAATTCTCATTGCAATATGAGTTTTCCTCCAGTTTTTATTTTATTTCTTTGTTTTTATTTTTTTAACTTTAAAAAAAATTTTATTATTTTTATTTTATGTGTATGCATGTATTGCTTACATGTAGGTAAGTGCACCCATGTCATGCAATGCCCTTGAAGGACAGAAAAGGCTTTTAGAGCCCCTGGGACTGCAGTTATGGACAGTTGTTAGCTGCCATGTGGGTGCTGGGATTTGAACCCAGGTCTTCTGCAAGAACAACCAGTGTTCTTAACCACTGAGCCATCTCTCCAGCCCCAACAACAAGGCTTTTTTGGCTGCCAGTGCAGCACATTGAGTACTTAATGTGATCTCCCCAACCAATTCAACTCTCTTGAAACCATATACATATATTACTTTTGTTTCCTCATTGCTCAGTATAATGTTTGACACAAAATATATGTTAAATATGTATTGATCGGAATTGAACCTGATGCTTTTTAAAAAATATTACTGCCAGGCATGGTGGCACATGCCTTTAATCCCCGCACTCAGGAGGCAGAGGCAGGCGGATCTCTGTGAGTTCAATGCCACCCTGGTCTTCCAGGATAGCTGGGGGCACAGAAAGACCCTGTCTCAAAAAGACCCCCCCCCAAAAAAATTTATTACTACTTTTTTTTTTGTCTTTTTGTTGATTGTTTTTTGACAGGGTCTCTCTAGTCACAGCCCACCTGGAAGTCACAAAGTGAACCAGGGTGGCCTCAATCTTGCAGAGATCCACCTGCCTTTGCCTCCTGAGGGCTGGGATTAAAGGCATATGCCACCACATCCAGCAATTTTTTAAAATTGTGTGTGTATGTACATGTGAGTACAGGTACCCAGGGAGGACAGAGGTGTTGAATCCTCCAGGACCCGGAGTTAGAGGTAGTTGTGAGCTGCCTGATGTAGGTGTTGGGAATCAAACTCAGGTCTTCTGCAAGGGCACTATGAGCTCTTAGCCACTGAACCCTCTCTCTCCAGCTGCCTGGGTTTTGTTTTGTTTTGTTTTTTTGAAACAGGGTCCCTCTGTAGCCCCAGCTGACCTGGAACTCACTATGTAGACCAGGCTGGCTTCGAACTCACAAAGATCCGCCTGCCTCTGCCTCCCAAGTGCTGGGATTAAAAGTGTGTGCCACTATGCCCTGCTCTGAGGCGTATTTTAAGTCTAAAATAACTGCTTTTTTGGGGTGGTGGTTCTCTATTTGTTTGAGATAGGGCCTCAGCTAACCCAAGTTGCCTTAAACTCTGTGTAGCAGAGGATGACTTTAAACTCCTGATCTCTTGCCTCTTCCACCCAAGTGATAGGATAGAATTATAGGCCTCTACCACCATGCTCAGTGTCTTTTGATTCTTTAGGAAAAAGTTATGCCTAAAAAATATGAGAGATTTAAGAGTTGGAACTTATAATTCTTTTTTTTTTCCTTTTTTTTTTTTTGGTTTTTTTAAGAAAGGGTCTCCCTTAAACCCCAGCTGGCCTGAACTTGCTATGTAGACCAGGCTGGCCTCCAACTCACAGAGATCCTCCTGCCTCTGGCTCCTGAGTACTGGGATTAAAGGCATGTACCACCATGCCCAGTTTATAATCCTATTTTGAA